ATATATATATTACCTCATCTATTACATTCATATCATCAATATAATGATTTACGTGTAAGTTATTAGTTTATATTTATATAGTTCATTTATTTATAGTTAAAATATTAAAATGTGATATACTCGTTATTTGACTTATAATATACACATTTGTAATACATAATATTTTGGTTGGATTTATGCACGTGCACGGAAATTGAATACTAGTATTATATACATGCTTTAATTAAGAAGCAAGAAATCGATATTTGTGTTTAGAGATGTAATAAATGGGTCGGGTCGGGTCGGGTGAAGTTTTGGCAAACTGGAACCCGCATATAAATTATCCTACCCGAACACGACCCGTAATCCGATTATTGATCATCGGGTTCGGGTTGTGTTTTATCCGACATGTTATCAGGTCTTCGTCGGGTAAATGGATAACACGAATTATTAAATTTGGGTTTTACCTGGTCCCTACTCGACTTGACCCGCTTCATGTGTAAAAAAATAAAATAAAATAATTCTACAATTAATTATAATATAATTAACAATTTATTAACTAAGTTTGACAATAAATTAACTATAAAAAAATCTATATCATTTTGGAAATAAATATTGAAATATAATTATTTATCTTTTATAGTATGGTTAATAATATAACATTTAAAAATTAAGTATTTAAAATGTTCATTGTACAAAAAAAAAAGGATAACAAAAATAAAATAAAATTTAACTATTCAACAAAATATAATAAATGATTTCAATGCTTGTGGGTAAACGAGTATGGTAATTGGGTCGGGCAATATATTTTTCTATGATACCCGAACCCGACTCGGGGTTCAAGTAGCATAATTATACCGAAACCCGACCTGAAATTCGATCATCTCGAATTTACCCGACCCAAAAAATACGGGTATCTCGCGAGTAACATGATCATGCGGGTTTTATTGACGTGCCTATTTGTGTTACTGAGAAGGTTGATTTATATCATGATAATTAAATTGGTACTTTTTACAATACTTGGTGACTATTAATGTATCCGAATCTCAAAACAATCTTCAAAATTAAAAATTTTAGGCCCACAGCCATCAACATAACATTGAAACAAACTGGGCTTTGAGGCCCAGTTACTTTATTTTATTCTCCTTTTTCATTATTAGTATTAACAATGTCAATGCCAGGGTCATTTTTTACTGGTTTTGTGGCATTTTCTGGTCCACTTGTCAACTGGCATGGCCGAAAGACTTTGAAAGAAGAAAATGTGGAAATACATTTTCATTTATTTACTTTTGACAAATATTTATAAAGATACAAAGAAATTAAGGAGGATATTATAGGATTTGAAGTTTCAATGGACTTGAAATCTGCACACGACCAAGTTTATTTACCATACACAATTGAGCTAAACTTTTATTTCGCAGACTGCATCAGACATGATATTGCATTTGCGATCAATTTGCTAGCAAAATTTACTGTTTCACTTAGGAGATATCGTGATGAAATTCGGTAATGTCCAATTATTTTTCAAGTATAATGAGTTCTTTTTGGAATTGATTTACTATACTAGTGTGTTGATCAGGGTCAACTATATAATTGATTTCTGGAATATTGGGTGCTTGATTGGTTATATACCTCTGAAATGTTATTAACTTTCTGCCATGCTTTTATTGAAATTTCCCCATATTTATTTATCTTGAAGATAACATAATTTGTGATGCACAAATAAGTTATCGAAATACATTTGATTATTTTTTTATATATATTAACTCTGGAAGAGCAACATATGAGGATTTTATTTTAAAAACTCTTACCTTGAGGGAGAGCAATATACACTTATGAATATAACTAGAAAGGTTTTTGCCTTTAGAAGGAACGATAAATAATTCTTGAAGATCGAGCTTGGAAGGTCAATTGTAATCCTGAACATTAGGTCCGATTGGCCGGTGTTGTACTCTTTTTCCTTTAGTTAAGGTTTTTCTCCCATTGATTTTTACTTAACAAGGTTTTTAATGAAGCATCTAGTGTAACACATGAATGTGCATACTTCATATACTCTTTTCCTCGATTAGTAACGATGTTTTTAACGGAGCATATACATGATGCGGTAATGTACAAAGGAAAGTATCGTAAATATTTATTCGCAGACATTACCTATATTAGACTTTGGGAGTATGGGATGTATTCATTTATATATAAAGCTCAAGTAAATGAATAAGATGATAATTTTACGATTGTACCTATTCTCTCTTGGTTCTCTCATCGCACTTCATCTCTCTCTATCTTACATATTCACAATCTATATTACAACACTTGTGACAATACAATCTTCAATCATATTTCATCTCTGCACCGTAAAGTCATAGTTATCTGCGTGAGCGTGACTGTTCTCTTAACTCCAAAACAAACAAATAAACTATAAAACAATACATAAATTATAACTCAGATAGAAATAAAACCCATAACAAGAATTAAATTAGCATTACATTTGCAAAAGGCATTGTCAAACTATACACACATCAAAACAAAAAGGACCAAAAAAAAAAAAAAAAAAAGTGTTCCCATCTAATCAATTAGAGGACACATCTGCAAACAACTAAAGAAACACACCCCTCTACAACTACCACTCCATGATTCCAAAAGCCAACCACAAAAAGTCCATCCACAAGTTAAACTTAAAAGCGCATCTAATCTCCATCAAAAGTTTTTTCCTTTCTTTTCCTAGTCAAATCAACAAACATCAAAACACGCTATCAAACGCTACCCGGAACTGTGGGCTCTGCTGAGTCTTAGGGGTCGAGGCCCCTGCTATGCCCCGGAGCATCCTCACAACATCTGACGTGTCGTCCAGGTAATACCTTGCCTTGCTCGGCTTCTGCCCCACAGTGCATGCAAAGATCTCGGGGATCGCAGACGAGCTGAGGACGGCGTTCGTTATGCTCTCAAACATGTCCTCGTCCGACCTGTCGTCCCCAATGCACAAAACAAAGTCAGGTGGGCTGCCATTGCTGGTCAGCGTGGAGAGCACCTTCTCCGCCACCACACCTTTCGTCACTCCCTGCGGATTAAAATATATAGATCAATCTACTGTATAACCATATCAGGTTTTTATTTATCACCAAAAATCAAATTTGTTTGCTTCAATATTATAAGATTGCATGGCTCGCCTCGCCCTCAAGAGTACTAAATCTCTTGAGTGAATAGTGAATACAAAACCTCAAATGGGTTTTTCTAATACTGCAAGGGGCTGTATGTAATTTTGGAAGATAGCCTGTGTATCTAAATCTAACATTAAGAAAAACCAAGAGCACTTTTGTAATTAACACGCAAAAAAGAGAAAAGAAGACTGATATTCCGGTGGAGGAAGAAATAAAGGAGGAACATACCTGTGGTTTTACTTCAACAATATGCTGCCCCCTGCAAACAACCGCAGGTTCATTTGCAAGAACATTTTCCAAATGATCCAAAAGCTCCTTGGCTTGGCACGACCCAAAGTCGGTGTCGGCATCTTGATGATGCCACACCAGCGCACTCTCTTTCACCTCCATATACGACCCATCAGTTGCTTCTGTGTATTGTTTCATAATGGGCTCCACAATCTCTTTCCAATCAATATCAGAAGCTAATGATTCCCAGTCAGAAGCTTTCTCCCACCTGAAATGTAAAAAGGGGCAAAATGATCTCGTGTGTAAAAAACACAAGTTAAAATTACGAAGCAACCATTAAAGCTTTGGTCTAATTATTAGGAGACTGGATTATCCTTCAAAGTTGCTACTTCCCTACCAAGGATACCATTCTGTAACAAATACTCTTCCCATTTCAGAATAAGGAATTTTCATTCAGAATTAAGGAACATAAAAATTTTACACACATCTAATCAATTAATTGTATTTATAATTGACCTCTTTCCTTCTCTCAGTAATTTTGTTTTGGCTCTAGAATAAGTTGAGATAAAGTTGGAAAATGGTGATGAAAATTCTAAAACGACATTCGATTTCTCTAAAGGACACTTGGTTCAAAATGGAGGTTGTAAGTGTCAAGAAATGTCTTTTTTAATCACCCAAATTTCAAGGTTATTTTTGTAGTTAACCATAAGAACATTACAAAAGACACAAACGTCACTACCAAGGAGCTTTTTATACCTCAGGAAATACCCATGCTCAGCCGCCAGCCCCAACTTTTCACACTCACCAAGCCAATCACTCAGCGACTCCCTTCCTCTCCCACTAACAATAAACACCGTGTTATTACAATCCCCACACAACGAATTAAGCACATCCACCACTTCACGGCTTGGGGACCTCACCATTGACGACTGAGACACAACCGTGCCATCATAATCTAGAAATATCGCTCTCCGCCTTGTCCTCTTATATGCCGACACAATATGGTCCACCGACAGCTTCCTAAAATTAGGGGAAAGTGAGATCACCCTGAAACCCAGACCCAACCCGATCCCCCAACACCGCTTGTCATAGTGGTCCTTGCACGCCCTCTCCAGATCCTGCATGAAGCTGCGAGCCCAGTAGCCCACGTCATGCGAGCTCACATAACGGTAGTGCTTCTCATGCCTCATTTGCTTCTCGGCTTCAGGCATGGTGATGGCCACGTTCATAGCTTCGGCAACGGCGTCAATGTCCCATGGGTTAACCCTGATGGCCCCACTCAAAGAAGGCGAGCACCCAATGAATTCGGAGACCACAAGCGTGCTCGTCCGGGGACAATCAAGCTTTAAGCCCATTGATTGCTCCATGCTCGACGAGCCCTGCCTGCAGACTATGTATTTGTAAGGAACCAAGTTCATTCCATCCCTCACAGCATTAACTATGCAGCAATCAGCCATCGCATAATAGGCGGTCTTCTCATCTCGGGGGGCATAGCGATCAATTAGAGTCACAGGCTCGTAAGTGGGAGACCCGTACACATCGTTGATCCTTCTGGCGGTGGAATACGTCTCCCTTTTTGCTTCCTGGACGTCTTTGCCGGAGCTTCTGGCGGGATTCACAATCTGAACCAAGACAAGCTTCCCTCGATGCTCCTTGTGCTGCAGCAGGAGCTGCTCGAATGCCAGCAGTTTAAGACTAATGCCTTTGAAAATGTCCATATCATCAACACCCAGGATCAGTTGCTTGCCCTTGAAACGTTCTTGTATTTCTTTGACTTTACTACAAGTGGAAGGCAGATTCAATACGGATTCATGCCTACCCATGTGAATACCTACCGGGAGGATTTTTATGTACACTGTGCGACCAAAATAATCCAGCCCAATGTGGCCCCTCTTGGATTCATAGTCCAGGCCCAGCATTCTACTGCAGCACGACAGGAAGTGACGGGCGTAGTCAAATGTATGAAAACCAATCAAATCAGAATTCAGCAACCCTTTGAGAATCTCGTCCCTAACAGGTAGCGTCCTGTAAATCTCAGACGAGGGGAACGGACTGTGGAGGAAAAATCCAAGCTTGACTCGATTGTAACGCTTCCTTAAAAACGTTGGCAGGACCAAGAGATGGTAGTCGTGGACCCAGATGAAGTCATCCTCTGGATTGGCAACCTCCATGACCTTATCGGCAAATAACTTGTTTGCCGACACGTAAGCCTGCCACAGCTGGCGGTCAAACCGGTCCCCATGGTCAGAGCACATAGGCAGCATGTAATGAAAGAGAGGCCAGAGCTGCTGCTTGCAGAAACCGTAATAGAAGTTCTTCTGGATTTCGGGAGGAAGGAAAGTGGGCACGCACTTGAAATCATCCAGAAGCCTTTGCGCGACTTCCTCCTGCTCGTGGGCCTCAATCTCGGCTTTAAGAGAACCAACATATATGACCTCGGTGTCAGGCGGAAATCCATCCTTCAACTGCAGCAGAAGAGCATCCTCGTCAAAAGTGAACAACCATTTAGCGGTTGCATTCTCCTTCTGAGCCTGCACAGGCAACATATTGGCCACTATGATTTTCCGCTCACGGAAAACTGATGATGTGCTGTCAGAGTCCGCATCACTGTTCCCGTTGCCATCGGATATGATTCCCGGGATAGTCATTACTCGGGGAAGACCTCTTGGAGTCTGGGGCACGTCCAGGAATCCACCAGAAGCTAAATCCAATAAATTTCCGCACGATCTAGATGCCATAGCAGTAAAGGGGTGTGCCCTATTCAATTTCTAGCAAGCACTGGTTTGCGAGAAACTGGGAACACATGAAATAAATGAGGAGGCTGTAAGGTCAATTTACTGAAGCAGATCATATAGTTGAAAAGGTAAGTTTCAAAGCAAATGCAGTAGAAAACAAAGCCAAATATAAGCCAATAATTTGCCATGTCCATCAGGGAAAAAATAAGATTAAAAAAAAAAATCCAAAACGAGAGGGGAAATTAAAGCGAAGAATATTACTCCACTCAGAAGTAGGGCTCCATGGATTTCTACAGTGTAGCCATTGTTGAATATTTGTTGGCTATCATGTTACATATTTAATACTAGACTGATATGATCAGGCGAATCATATAAATAATCGGTTAATTCATATCAACCATAACAGATGATTGAATAGTCCTATATCAAACTCGAGCTCTCTGCATGTATGAACAATCAAAACAAAAAAACAGGGGGAAAGCAAAAGGCCTTTGCAGATCTCCACCAAGAATAGCATACATAGAAATAAAACTTCTGCGAGCTATTTAATGGCAGTGATACAAGAAAAGTGAGTTCGGCAGCGAAGAGAGACTCAACCAAGAAATAACAAAACAGGCAGGGGGAAAGCAAAAGGCCTTTGCAGATCTCCACCAAGAATAGCATACATAGAAATAAAACTTCTGCGAGCTATTTAATGGCAGTGATACAAGAAAAGTGAGTTCGGCAGCGAAGAGAGACTCAACCAAGAAATAACAAAACAGGTTAATTGTTGGATTGGGAGGGTTTGTTGGTTTTATGGAGTACAACTTTTTACATGGAAATTAACATCTAGACTTGTAGTTAAGGCTGATTCCTTCAGTTAAAAGTTAAATTTGTATTTCTCATCTAAACTTCTCTTGCTTTGGTATTCTTTCATCAAATTGCAAGTTCAGGAAACTTTTACCATCTTAAAGGAGAACAAAGGGGAATGTCCATTGCAAATGGAGCTGGAGAGTCATTGTTGACAATTCTCCTGGCATAGTGCTAATAATGAACTAGATCAAAATGGCTCAATTAAATTTTAGTGCTTCTTCTATTAGTGAAGTTTCTAGAAAAAAAAATATATCAAACGACGCAATGGACCTGGGGCCGCTACGGAAACAACCTCCTTGTATAATTACAAGGGTAAGGTCTGCGTACAACTGACCCCCAGACCCCAAAAGAAATGAGAGAAGAAGATCATCCTAAAGTCAAAGTGTATCAAAATCTTTAGGTTTATCCTAAAGTCAGTCAGTGTATCAGTGGAAACTATTCCACATGTGTTTGGAATGATGGACTTTCTAAAGGATCTCTAATCGCTTTGATTCTTTAGAAACTACTCACATTTCATGTGGATACAATGCGAAAACACAATGATTTTAAACTTGTTACAAGTTTTAAATTATACCTCATTGTTACTTAGTAAATAGTAAATTACATAGAATTTATTATTTTATTTTATGTGCACTATTGTGAGGCAGTATACAGTGTGTATGCTTGCGTGCATGAAACATGAAATTTACCTGGTACTCCAGTAGGAACAATGTTCAAGCTTTTTCAATCTTTCTAATATATCAACCCCTGAGCGCGGACTATAGTCCATGGGAGAATTCTAGCCTTGCTATTTTCAAGGACTTATTTGAATTATTATAAGTTAAACCATCAAAACCAAAAAGGTAAAATAAACAGAGCAACAAACGAAAGCCTGAAAGAAAACTAAAACAAGAACAATAATTGAAGTTGAGACTTCGGCCATTTAAAATAATGAAAATTTTGAGCTTTTATTGTTTCAAAATTAACCAAATGGATCATTCATGTAAAACTATTTTTCACAATAACGTTCCCCTACATTTTTAGTTAAAACAAAATAGATCACATATTACAAGAATTATTTACCTGCCTACACATTAAAGGCTGCAGCTCCAACTTCGTGCTTGTTGGTTTAATGGTATCAAGGGTATCATATTGTTTCACATATATACTACTAAAACAAGTGGGCAAAAACTCGTTGATAGTGTAGAATTGAGGTAAAGGTACCTCTGAGAAATGTAGTAAACTGGGACGTGCTATACTACTACTAATTATAGGCCAAGATCTTAAACATCACTGAGGACTGTGCAGAGTTTATAAATGCAGGCTTCCTGGTTTAAAGACATAAAAATAAAAAAAAAAAAACTAGACATTTTCTAAATCAGTGGATCTAATGCATTGGTGATACTCTTAAGTAAAAACCATCTACAATTTTTATGTACCACTTATACCAGCCTAGTGACATAGGAAAATATAGACTAGAGATCCACCCGAATCGAATTTAAAAACCTGGTTATAGCCTTCATGAATAAAAAAAAATTAAAAATTATTCAGGCTTCTCATATTTATTTATCTAACCATAATTTCTGACTTGACTTTAATAATATTGCATAGGAGTGAACTTGGTTAATTTTTTCTTGGATTTGTCCACATCAGGTAAGACTCAAGTCTTTTAACATGACAATTATGCAAAATTAGATCATTAGCATGCTCTCAGTGTATACATGTGTGCTATAATTAGGCAGGTACGGGTGGAACATGTAATACATCCCATGTCCAAATTTTATACAAAGCAACATTTAAATTTGAGCTATGTAATAACAATACCTATGACTGTCTTAGAAGTTCATATATAAAAAAAGGTGATAAGTTGAATATCAGACAAATTTAATGAGAATACATATAAGTACAAATTATAGCAAAAGCCTATATTATACATGACTTAAAATCAACATCAGGAATCAAGTTCGTCATTTCTAATCTTTGTTCCCAGAGATAAACCAAATACTCTATATCACTTAAACAGGGAAGATGCTGCTTATAGTCAAAATGAAAAGTTTACAAAAAGAATTAAGCATTGGTACCTTGTATTAACTCGAGTAACGAAGCTGTTATATCAGTCAACGTCAGCTATTATAACTTGACTTGTAATCTGGTTTCCAAACAGATGCAACTGTCTGGCAAGCTTGCATATAAAATTTGGGTTCGGAGACAATGGAAAAGAGCAGGTTAATACAAGTAATAAAAACATTAAAGATAATAAGGTAATCTCTCCGTGATTGTTAATATTTTGGCTTGCAGCATCAATCACGCTACTTTTTTTATGATATCATCTTTCTTATTCACATATTGGACTGAAGGGATACATGGAAACAAACAAAAACACACATACCAAAAGACATAATTTGCGGCCGACAGTAAATATCGCTTTTCGAGAGTGTGTGGCGTGCCGCTTGTCAAGTGACTGCCTATATCTATTCTTCTTAGCAGAAAAACTCCAATCATTGCCGACAAAACACGTATAAAATATATCACACTTCCCTAATATAGTAAAATGTGATTTTTGTGATGACATACTCAGAGATATCTACTTTACATTCCGAAAATAGGAAGGAACTATTGTATACATAACCTTTGGGCTTTGGCATATATTTTTTTCAATGAATGCAATAGAACAATGATCGCCTTCTCCAAACGCAGTTAATAAACAAGAATGAAGCTAAAGTTCTTAGTTTTTTCCCCCAGGAAATGGAAACATACAGAGATACATAGTCCCCAAGTTTCAGATGGAGCATAAAAAGAATATATTAAATAAACAATTTATACATGTCTATAGTAAAGCTCATGAAAATCCTAAATTGATACAAAATGATATAAAGACACATTTTTGTTACACAAAACCAATTGGCTTAACTAAAAGTAAGTAAGGTTTATAACAGCATTAAAAGCTCATAATTTTGCTACCACAACAAGATCCCGTTACGATTTCTCAAGCCAATTCTACACAACCCAACTCGTAAACAGCCAAAGGAAACGCAAAATTAATCAAAATCAAGAAAATTTATCCACCGCCGAAAGCAAAAGTAAATCAAAATAAAAATCAGAAGAAACATGTGCGAATAGATCACAGCAAACTGCAGGTGTAAACAAAAGCAAACAAGAAACAAATGTTCAACTGATTTTCCTTCTACCCAGCAATCAATTACCGAACAATACACGAAGAAGAGCCGGCGGAACCACTCACCGGAGATCGGAATATGCCGTCTACGTCAGCACCCACGAGATATTCCACTTATCAATTTCTCCACGGATTTTCTAGAGAGAGAAAGAAGGGAGAGAAAGAGAGCAACGTACGTAGAGAGAGAGACTGAGACGAGAACTCATGGATATAGCTTTCTAGAGAGAGAGAGAGAGAGAGAGAGAGAGAGAGAGAGAGAGAGAAGAGGGGTTATATCAATATCAGAAGATATACAGAAGAATGGATCAAGTCTAGTCTCGAATATATAATTAAATGCTGGCGAGATGGATAAGGCTGTACAGCTGTTAGAAGCGCACTGTACAAGTGCCTACAGCATAGGTGGACTTTTCCATAAAAAATATAAGTAGATATTTTATTTTATATGATAATAAACAGAAATGAGGTGGAAAATTTGGTGAGTAGGAAACTGGATAGAGACGAGTACTTTTAAGTTTTAACTATAGTATGCTTTAGCCTAACTAACCCTAGTTGTGATTACAAGTGCACTACTATAGTGGGTGGCCACCCTAATTTTTTAGTTTATTTTTTTTTTTTCTAAATTTCAACTTCACTTAGATATTTTTCACTAAATTTTATTATACATCAATTATATAGTTATTAGTACGATGTCTTTGTACTACACGAGTACGTAAATATATTAATAATAATATAATAAAAATATTAAAATAATTTATATTTTTATTGTGAAATGATAATGTTTCTTTATTCATGGTGGACACATGTTAATATGCACAATGCTTATGTGGCATGTACACATTAGTGATGTTAATTGTGTGCATGCCACATAAACGGTGGTCATATTAACATGTGTCCACCGTAGATAGTGGAACATTACTCTATACAACAATAATAAATAATAAACAAAGTGATTAATGACACCCCATAGTTTTACAATAAACTAACAATTATGAAGATTTACATATGTACAAATGTAAATAAAATATTATTTGTTTTATGAAGATTTAAGTACACCCTCCACCTTTTTTAAAGTATTATTTTACATTAATTATATGGCTTATCAAGCTAACCTCATGGTTAACAAAATCATAAATGCGAAAAGCTTTCATCAGAAAAAAATTTTAACGAAAAAAAAGACAACTCATGGATGTGGAAGTGTTGATTATCAATTAGAGACTCATTTCAAAACGGAATCACTTTTGATATCAAGGATTGAAACAAAGTCAAAATTTGAGAGTACCCCTGGATACCAAACATAGTTGGGTTCAAATCCGCAGAAATGGTCAAAAGGAGGGGAGATTCAATCTAGGTGAATGACCTTATTGATCATTCTAGAAGGAATTAGAAGAAAACTGGTGGAGAATGACTTTTCAAAATAAAGAGTGATGTTATTCTAAATATGAAGGGACTGGATCCAAATAGGGTAGATAAACTGGTCGGGGATTGTGGAAATAAAGGACACTTCTCTATGGATCCAGCTTATGCCAAACTGGTGGGAGAAAAATGGGGAACTCTTGATGTGGATGAGCATAGTAGAAAGCGATTGGTAACCAAAAATATGAGAGATTAAAGGGAAAATGAAACATTTTCTATAGAAGTTGTCCATAACAATCTCATCAAGAAAGGGGTGAATATTAAGCAAACTTGCAAAGCTTGCAGAGTGGCTCCAGAAACTCAGGAACAATTATTTTTTCTCTGCCAAGAGCCAAAAGAATTTAGGAGCTTTCTCCACTCAAATGGGACGGACAAGATCTCGACTCAAGCAATTTTAATGGTTGGTGGTCGCAGCTGCAGCCTGCAGCCACATCTGATGCTAGATTACAACTTATTTCCTACATTCTTTGGTGGATCTGGAAAGGAAGAAACTTGTAGGTATTTTAGAATTGTTAGAGAACTGAAATTTTAATTCTAAATATGGCTATTAGTGGTTTGTTTTGAAAAAAGATAAAAATATACAATAAAAGAGCATATGTTCTATTATTTCCGTTGCCTCCCCCACAAACTTCACATAATGTATCATATAACTTCGTTGACAAAGATTAACAGCTTTAGTTTATGAGAAATTTACACCTTCTATAGCAACTTTAAATATTATTATTAAAATTACGAGAGATTGATCTTATTAGTATAAGTACGAATATTCCTTTAATTAATATAATCTTTAACAAAAGTAACTTACCAAAAAGATTTACATATAATCAATTTCTTCAACTGCATATATCGGTTTCTCTCTCTCTCTCTCTCTCTCTCTCTCTCTCTCTCTCTCTCTCTCCCCGCATTCTTGCTCTCTTCTTCCTTATCTATCAATTTCTCCATGTGGCGGCTCAAATTGCACAAGGGCAAGACAAAATCGGCGGCCAAATATCTCCCAATTTTCTCAAATTTTTTCCTTTTTTCCTTTTTCGATTTTTTTTCTCAATTCGTAGACCACCTACCCCCATAACCCTTTGGATGGCGGTGGCTGAGAAGGTCATCACCAGGCAAGAGTCAAGCTTGGAGGTTTGTATGATGGGTAACGAAGGCGGGATCGAAAATCACCGGTTCTGGTGGCTCTTAGCGACCCAGCTCCTCTCTTTACTTATTATGGTTCATATCACAATTCAAATACGAAATAGGAACTAAAATCAATTAATCTGTCGATCGGCTTTGAGCAATGCTATGATTCACTCGTGCAACGTCGAAGATGCACCATGGTTCATTGAGGAGATGAAGGGGGTGACGTTGGGAGTGGTGAGGTCAACCAATCGCGATTAAAAATTGTTTATATGTTTATCTTATGTATAGTTACATTCTATTTGAATTTTGTGGGGAGTGGTGAGGTCAATCAATCTCGTTTAAGAATTGTTTATATGTTGTTTATCTTATGTATAGTTACATTCGATTTGAATTTTGTGATCATTCAAAATTGTGTATTATGTTTAATCCCATTTCAGAATTGTTTATATGTTGTTTATCTTATGTATAAGTCAGTATAACTATACGATTAATATTAGATAACTATCAGATCATGTTTATCAAATGTATATATATAATATATCTGAACATATATTTGGGTTATTAGGAAATATATATAGTGCATCTGAATTTTTTCATAAAAGGAGATTTCACGAAAATCAATGAATTTTTCTTTTTAGCAGCTCCTTCAATTGTTTTTTTTTTTT